AAGAGGAATTTTGCACCAATCACTTCAATGTAGCAGCTGTGATGGTATCAGCATTGGCTTGAACTATAAAACTGACATGAGTTTAGGTCCTTAATGTAAATGGGCTGGAGACGGTTCTAAATGTGCCGATTTTCAAGAGAAGCCTAATCTTATGAGACAGAAGTAACATGAAAAAATATCTTCCTGATAAGCTCCTTGAAATATTTGGTGCCTATTACTTTTTGAAGTAAATCTGTCATAGAGGTTAATATTTGAGAATATTTTCTTTTACAAAAATATGGATAAACAGTTTACATTCAAGATATTGTCTTCAAAACCAGTGGTTCACAATTTTGTATTGTCAGCCTGAAAACCATTGTTTTATGATTTAAGATTGTGCAGAACTTTGAAAAATTCTTAGTATGGAAGCCTTTTTGCAGCTCTTAAAAAAAGAATGGTCTTAAGGCTAAGACCATAAGAAATGACCAAGATTACTTTTGCAACAACGCACCATCGAAAGGGTTAAACTAATCTCACACCAGTCTAAACCCAGCTCACATACCTTATTAATGGGTGAACAATCCAACGCTAGAAATGTTTAAGTTTTGAAGCTTATATAAAAATTGCAATAATCTGGAACATCTTTAGCCATGGTTGCACATTTACAAACACATTCCCTGAATAGAAAGATTCTCTCATATTTTACTCCAAGGATTACGAAATGAAGATTTCTGGAACCCTAAGAGAGGAATTCTCTTGCCATATTTTCAGAAAACCTGTGTTTGGTTCTGTTGTAATTTCACTCCTTTTTTGTCAATACCACCGAACTGTGCACTATTCCCTCGTTAAGAGGATTTTACTCTAAGGTTCTTATGTGACAACCATTTGAGCAGTTTCTACCACAAGAGCACCTGGGTGACTTCCCTGCTGATTTGTCATCCTTCCCTATAGGAAAGTGTCTTCTTCTGCTCATCAGCTGCACCCCCAGCACATTAAGATGTACAGAACTCTATCTCTCTGCCTCCACCCTTGATGCCAGGAACACTTCTTTCTAACTGATTATAAATTTCCGTCCTTCAGATGAGATGTTAAACTGAATTCCCATTTGCCTGTTCAGGTGGAAGTTACAGATCCCATTCAAAAAGAGAAGGGAGTTTTTCCTGGTGTCCTGGTCAACAATCCTTCCAAAATAAAATTGGTCACTCAATCCATGGTTGTTTGTGGGACATTGCAGTGTGCCACGTTTTTCCCATAAAATACAGTCAATCAAAAGCAACAACAAATTACATTTGTACAGCGCCCTTCACATTGGGAGGACATCCCAGGGCGCTGGACAATCAGGGATCTGGACCCAAGCAGGGGGTTGGGATCAGGAGGGTGGAGGATAGATAGGGTAAGGTGTAAGAGTGTGTCCAAAAGTGTGGTTGAAGATGGGGTGGGCCGGGCGGGGTACGCAGGTCACAGAGGTAGGAAGGAGCAAAGCCGTGGAGGGCTTTGAAGATGAGGACGAGGATTTTGAACTCTATCCTCTAGGGAATGGGGTGCCAGTGGAGACAGGCATGGGAGGGGGTGTTAAGGTCACGGAGCTGGTGCGGGAGAGGACACAAGCGGCAGAGTTCTGGATGATCTGCAGCTTGTGGAAGGAAGACTTGGGAAGGCCAACAAGTAGGGAGTTGGTGTGGTCGAGCCTAGAGGTATTAATAATAATCCTTGCATTTGATACAGCGCCTTATCACATCTTCAAGCTGTCTCAAAGCGCTTCACAGAATATACTGTAAAGTTAATTAACTGTATATTTTGTGGGCGAAACGCGGCAGCCAATTGCGCACAGCAGTGCCCCACAAACAGTCATGGATTGAAGTACCAATTTATTATTATTCATTTTTTAAAAAATTTTGAAGGCATTATTACCTCTGGAAAAGCGATCGGCCAATCGACTAACTATTTACTGCTAGGTAACCAGAGGCGTGTGGAGTAAGGAAACTTGCCTAACATTTTGCCCTGCTGGGAATTGAACCCAGATCTCTCGCTTGCATGGCAAATGCTCTAAGCACTGAGCTACAGGACTCCGCATAAGGAAAAGAGAGGCAGTGGCGGAGCCGGACAATATGTTATTAAGTGGAGGAAGGCAGAGCGGGTCATGGCAAATGTGGGAAAGAAAGAACAGTTGAGGGTCAAACAAGGCACCAAGACTGGCTCGGTGTGGTGAAGGGTGCTTCCATTGATGGTGAAGCTGCCTGTGCCTGAGTTGTGGAGGGGCTGACGAAAGCCAATCAGGAAGGCCTCGGTCTTGTTGATGTTCAACTGGAGAAAGTTGGTCCTCATCCAGGACTTAATGTCTGACAGACATTCTGTCAAGACAGCAGTGTATCAACTTCACAGTATATCCGATGAAGTGCTTTAAAACAGCTTAGTGACGTGATAAGACGCTATATGAAATGCAAGAATTATTATTAGTATATTGTATTGCTTGTCAGACAACAAGTCCTGGATGATCTCCAACTTCCTTCAATTGAATGTCGACAAGACCAAGGCTAATCTGCTCTAATATTCTGGTAATAGGCATGGCTGGCCCTACCTCGTTTGACAATGAATGATTTTAAACAATATTTTCTTTAAGCTAGGTATTCAGTTGTTGGGGGAATTTCAGCTCAAACCACAAATTTCTATGATTCTTTCAATTATATTCTACCTCACATTTATTCCAGGTCTGGCACCAATTATGGGTAAGAGACCAGACATGGTGTTCTGCTATGTTGCTCTTAAACTGGGCACCGGTTCATGTACACAGCAATCCCAGCGGATGAAGACACTAATGTTCCCATCCATTGATGTGAAAGGGCATCACTTCTGGCACACAATTCCCTGAAGCAGCATGCCTGAGCCTTGAAACTTACTAGTTATGATGGACCCAAGCCAAAACCTGTGGCCCACCATTTTTTTTTGGTTCCAGAGTTCCAGAACACTGCCATGATTACCAAAATGAAAAGGAGTCACATTTTCTAAAGCAAACGCATATCTAATTTGGCAAAAATCTAATTCTGTTGTTTTAAAGGTATTTTGTGGTCCAGTGTATGCTACACTTCTGTACATTAATCTTTCAAATCAAAGCCTGGTTTCCCAACCTTTATTCTATCTATATCTAGTGCAATTTTGTTGCTCTTTGATCCAGTGAGCCCACACTATAAGTAATATTGGCCATTGGGATTCACTGGGACAGTTCTGGCACTGCTTGGAAATTTACATTAAAAAAGAATTTATGGTGCACAGCAAATTAGTGTATTGTACCCAAGTTAATCCTCCAGAAAATCTAATACTGCTGATTATTTCTAGGCATAATAAATCACACATAATAAGGCTGCTTAGTTATTTACATCATACATTATAACTATTGACAAGCATAAAAATAAACAAAATAACTAAGTTATATAACTGCCTCCGGTGGGAGTAATGTCAAATTCATTGGAAAGCATCTAGAACAGCACTTCACAGATCTGCCCCCAAATCTCACTGAGAAACCAGAGTGTCTGAGGGCAGCAGAAAATCAGACCAACTTTACTGCAGCCTCAGCTATTCAGGACTGCGAAGGATGGATTTTAAAAACATTTTCCTAACATTGAAAAGTCAAATGTCAATGACCCAACGGGATTGAACTAAAATCCTCTGGTCCCACGTTCAGAGGGCACATGATATGTGCTGGTCCGGACTGGACAGCCCCAGTCACCATGTTCAACAGTCTACACTCTCTTTAGCAAACATGTCGATTCAGTGTTTTAAAAAATGGGGAAGTAAGAGCAGGTAACCAGGTGCCGATGCTATAAACTCGGTACAAGTAGGGTACACACATTAGACGTGATCACTGTCGATGTATTATTACTATTAATAAATACATTATTATTAATCACAATAATCCTTGGATTTTCGAACGATTCACAATCTGTCACCCACAGACCTGTTTCGAAGCTACACAACTTTTACGAGATAATATTGGGGTGTCCGGCAAATTCAAGGGCTATTCTGATAATGATATTATTCAACTTCTTTTGGTTAAAAAAAACCTAATGGTCATGTGTAAAAAGAAACAGGTTTTAAACCGAGCTCTGTAAGAGTTAAACACGTCAGACAGGGAGATGCCTCCTTCGTGCTGACAACCACACGCGGTGCTTTGGCGTTCAAACAGTCTCAGGTCCTTCCAACCAAACACTCACCATTCAACTCAAAGTTCTAGTATTTCAAAAAATAAAACACTACAAAAAATAAACACACAATTCGTCTAACATAGTCACAGATCACAAAATGAGGCGTTGGCCAGGTTATCCTGTGCTGTAATATCAAACCCACTTCCCCATCAACTTTTCAGAACTCAACTGGAAACCCAAACCTCAGGAGACAGTCACTCCTGTTGGAAGGAATGTGAGGGGAAAGACGGGGAACACCAGTGCACATCGCAGTGTAACGTCCATTCTTTCTCTGCTGACTGGTCAAATTCGGGACTAACCGCTCGGATCAGATAGAAGTTGACTTTCTCTGTGAATATTGAGTGTTCTGGTTCCCCGCTCTGGGTGGGTGAGGGAGGGAGGGAATGAGGGAGGGAATGAGGGAGGGAGGGAGTGAGGGAGGGAATGGGTGAGAAAGGGAGGGGGGAGTGAGGGAGGGAGGGAGGGAATGAGGGAGGGAGGGAGGGAATGGGTGAGGGAGTGAGGGAGTGAGGGAGCGAGTGGGTGAGGGTGTGAGTGAGGGAGGGAATGCGTGAGGAAGGGAATGGGTGAGGGAGGGAATGGGTGAGGGAGAGAGTGGGTGAGGGAGAGAGTGGGTGAGGGAGAGAGTGGGTGAGTGAGGGAGGGAGTGGGTGAGGGAGTGAGTGAGGAAGAGAGTGGGTGAGGGAGGGAGGGAGGGAGGGAGGGAGGGAATGAGTGAGGGAGTGAGGGAAGCGCTGATCTCACTCTTCAAACACAGGAGCGGCCGCTGGAAACCCCCGGACTCCTGTTTCTCGAGAGAGCCATTTGGGAATTGCACATTACCTGCAGGAGATGGTGATTTCCACTTTGGTGGCCGGGATGCTCGCGTGGATGGGATCGAAATCTCCTATGGACGCCATATTCCTGAAGCTTTCCATAGCGTCTCCAGCAGCCGAGCCCTGAAGCTCTGAGCAGCTGCTCTGGGGCTCAGGTTAGTGTGTGGGGGAGTGGTGTCACTTCATAACAAACACAGCAAACGTCAGCACAGACACACCCCCACACACACACACCCCCACACCCCCCCCCCCCACACCCACACCCCCCACACCCCCCACACACCCCCCCCACACCCACACACCCCCCCCCACACACACCCACACCCCCCACACCCCCCCCACACACACACACCCACCCCCCCACACCCCCCACACCCCCCACACACACACACCCCCCACACACCCCACACACCCCCCCACACACACCCACCCCCACACCCCCCCCCACACCCACACCCCCACACCCCCACACACCCCCCACACACACACACCCCCACACCCACACCCCCACCCCCCCCCCCACACCCACACCCCCACACACCCCCCCCACCCCCCCCACACACACACACCCCCCACACACCCCCCTCCACACCCACACACACACCCACCCCCACACACACACATTCCCCCACACACCCCCCCACAGCCCCCCCACACACACACACATCCCCCACACACACATCCCCCCCACACACACACACACCCCACTCCCCCCACACACCCCCCACACACACACACCACCACACCCCCCCCACACACACATACACCCCACACACCCACCACACTCACATACACACACACACACAGACAACACCCTCCCCCCACCCACACACACAGACACCCCCCCACACTCACACAGACACCCCCCCCACACACACACACCCACACACACACCCCCCACACACACACCCACACACACACAACCGCACCCCAGCCACACCCCGCCCCCTCCACACACAGACACCCCCCCCCACATACACACACACACACACAGACACCACCCCCCACACACACACTCACACACACACCCCCACACACACACAGCCGCACCCCTCCCCCTCCACACACACCCCCCCACACACACACACACAGCCACACCCCTCCCCCTCCACACACCCCCACCCCCACACACACAGCCACACCCCTCCCCCTCCACACACACACACACACACTCCTACACACAGAAACACACACACAGACAGACACACATACACAACCCGGGACTCAGCTCTTGCTACTGCACCAAAAAAAATCCCAACTAACCCAGAGGACGGGCACAGACATTGTTACTCCCCGCCTGAGATGGGAGGGGGAATTTCAGGCAAATTTAAAGAGAGAATGTGAAATTTCACCCCACTTCCAGGATGCCATTGGCCATTATATATAGCGTGTGCCACTTTCACAGCAATCAGACGGCAAAGTACTGTTCACCCGACACAATGCAACTATCAGATGCACATTTGTGTGATGTGCATTTACAAACTTCTAATCCAGAGAAATGCTCAATGGCTGTAAAGTGTTAACGTCTCTGTAAGATTGGGAACGCTGCCACTTCAGGAAACACAGCGATACTTTCCCTTCCTTTAAACCAGCGCTAATGACCTCTGGCAAAAGGAAGGGGTGTGTGTGTGTGAGGAGGGGGTGTGTGAGGAGTGAGGAGGGGGGTGTGGAGGGGGTTTGTGTGGGTGTGTGAGGAGTGGGGGGGGGTGTGGAGGGGGTTTTTGTGGGTGTGTAAGGAGGGGGTGTGTGGAGGGGGTTGGTGGGGGTGTGTGAGGAGGGAGTGTGTGGAGGGGTTTGTGGGGGTGTGTGAGGAGGGGGGGGTTGTGGAGGGGGTTGTGGGGGTGTGTGAGGGGGGGGGGGTTGTGGAGGGGGTTTGTGGGGGTGTGTGAGGAGGGGGGGTTGTGGAGGGGGTTTGTGTGGGTGTGTGAGGAGGGAGTGTGTGGAGGGGGTTTGTGGGGGTGTGTGAGGAGGGGGGGGTTGTGGAGGGGGTTTGTGGGGGTGTGTGAGGGGGGGGGGGTTGTGGAGGGGGTTTGTGGGGGTGTGTGAGGAGGGGGGTTGTGGAGGGGGTTTGTGTGGGTGTGTGAGGAGGGGGTGTGTGGAGGGGGTTTGTGGGGGTGTGTGAGGGGGGGTGGTTGTGTGGAGGGGGTGTGTGGGGGGGGGGTGAAGGGGGTTTGTGGGGGTGTGTGAGGAGGGGGGTGTGGAGGGGGTTTGTGGGGGGTGTGTGAGGGGGTGGGGTTGTGGAGGGGTTTGTGGGGGTGTGTGAGGAGGGGGGTTGGGAGGGGTTTGTGGGGGTGTGTGAGGAGGCGGGGGTTGTGGTGGGGGTGTGTGAGAGGGGGGGTGTGTGTGGAGGGGGTTTGTGGGGGTGTGTGAGAGGGGTGTGTGTGGAGGGGGTTTGTGGGGGTGTGTGAGAGGGGTGTGTGTGGAGGGGGTTTGTGGGGTGTGTGAGAGGGGGGGTGTGGAGGGGTTTGTGGGGGTGTGTGAGAGGGGGGGTGTGGAGGGGGTTTGTGGGGGGGGTGAGAGATGGGGGGGGTTGCGGAGGGGGTTTGTGGGGGGGTGTGAGGAGGGGGGTGTGTGGAGGGGTTTGTGGGGGTGTGTGAGGGGGGGGTGTGGAGGGGGTTTGTGGGGGTGTGTGTGGAGGGGGTTTGTGGGTGTGTGTGAGAGGGGGGTGTGTGGAGGGGGTTTGTGGGGGGGGGTGAGAGAGAGGGGGGGTTTGCGGAGGGGATTTGTGGGGGGGGGTGAGAGAGAGGGGGGGTTGCGGAGGGGGTTTGTGGGGGGGGGGTGAGAGGGGGGGGTGTGGAGGGGGTTTGTGGGTATGAGAGAGGGGGGGGTGTGGAGGGGATTATTCATACACAATGTCCACATTGTAAATGGTATTGGCAGTCGCTTGGGGGTGTTTTGTTTCAGGAGTGTGGAGGTCACACCCAAAGTAAATATTTTGCCTTTACTGTAAATCTGTGTTTATGCCCTGAGTTCCGATTCAGTAATACATTGTATGTGGAGAATGAGGTCGGGTGTGAGCTATCAATCCACTTCCGGTGACAGGGTCTGACACTCAGTGTGAGCAGCGCACAGTGTGCAGTCCAGGGCTGTCTGTCTGTCTGTCTGTCAGCAGTGTACAGTGTGCAGTCCAGGGCTGTCTGTCTGTCTGTCTGTCAGCAGTGTACAGTGTGCAGTACAGGGCTGTCTGTCTGTCTGTCTGTCTGTCAGCAGTGTACAGTGTGCAGTCCAGGGCTGTCTGTCTGTCTGTCTGTCAGCAGTGTACAGTGTGCAGTCCAGGGCTGTCTGTCTGTCTGTCTGTCAGCAGTGTACAGTGTGCAGTCCAGGGCTGTCTGTCTGTCTGTCTGTCTGTCAGCAGTGTACAGTGTGCAGTCCAGGGCTGTCTGTCTGTCTGTCTGTCAGCAGTGTACAGTGTGCAGTCCAGGGCTGTCTGTCTGTCTGTCTGTCAGCAGTGTACAGTGTGCAGTCCAGGGCTGTCTGTCTGTCTGTCTGTCTATCAGCAGTGTACAGTGTGCAGTCCAGGGCTGTCTGTCTGTCTGTCTGTCTGTCAGCAGTGTACAGTGTGCAGTCCAGGGCTGTCTGACTGTCTGTGCTGCCCTCAGTCACATGGCGGGCGGCAGACACACACACACACAGACACAGACAGACAGACTTTACTGGGAGACGATCCAAACCACACGGATCTTTGATGGAGGTTAACGACCGGACTAACTATCGGAACAGGAGTTTTTGATGCCAACCAGTCCCAGTCCCACTGTAACACACTCAGACCATCTTTGTTTATATATCTATATATATATATATATATATACGGCTTCTCGGGTTCATCCTTCGCCATATAACAAACTTCCAATGTCAAATGTCAAAGTCTAATTGTTAAGCGATATTTTGATATTTAAACAATATTCGGCGCAAAAGTAAAAGTGGGTTTGGTTTGATATTGCTCCGGGTTTACCCTGTGGTGGGAGTTCAGGAACTGATTTGAATCGCGAGGGAAGCACTTTCCGTTTTTAACATGAAGGGATAAAGCACAGTTGATGCGCTGCGAGTGGAGTGGGAGTCACTCCGGGAAACAGCGGAACCCACAGGGAATGGACCAAAGGCGGTGTGTAAATCGGCGATGACGGACCCGCGGCCACACGGCTCAGAGCAGCGGTTGGGACCGGTTACCTGACAAGGACACAGTTACACACAGTAGTCACGTCACCACAGCGGAGCAGCAGCAATCAGATGGTTTCTCCTCAGTGACTCTCTTCGTACATCAACACTCTGGTGAAACATGTCCCATATACTCACCTGAAAACCCAATATATTATACACACGAACCGAAACATTAAAAAGCTGAGCACAGATTTTAAACCTCAGCCAAATGGCAAACTCAAGCCCAGTGTCTGCAAAGGGCGGAAACAAAGAAAGAGCGAAATGTGATATATTCGTTTCCTTCGTCTTTACACTTTGTTGTCTGTAATTGTAATGATAACTCCTCTCACCAAATCCGCGGGAACAGTGCTGTTTAACTATATACGACAGTTAAGTGGGCAGAGTACCCTCGGGGTGATGTTGGCATTAGATGCCGCCAAAGGCATCGAAGGAGGATCCCCATTTCCCTACAATCTAAAGAATTCCAACATCCAGCGAGTAACCCCCAGACTGGCAAAGCAGGAACCAGGGAGTAACATCAGATACTCCATGGAGTATAAACTGAACACGTTCACACGAGGTGCCAAACATACTGAACATACATTTGCAGTATATACACACGTGTAGTGTTTCAATGTATTGAATGCATCCGTGTATTATTGCACACACTGTTTGGTGTATACTATAGATACATATGTATACGTACAGTTTGTAGGATGACAAACATTCTCATTGTTTTCACTGCATGAATGGAAATGGTTTTTGTAACTCTGCTTCTGAATTACCTGAAGTCTGACTTCCTGAATATACTTTCATATATACAATGCTCGGTATCCACTTTGATTGGTTTGCAGACAGTTAGGCAACTGCTGCTCAAACTCTGCACCTCCAACTGATGGAACCATTGCTCAATGGCGAGGGAACTAAGGACGTGTCTGTGGACACGTTTCCCGAAGAAGATGGTGGCAATGCTCTCGCACATTTCATGCCACTATGCCACTCACCAGGAAGTTCCTGGTACCTGCCATTCATCTTGTGAATGCTGTCAGTTGTCAAATGACCGACTGTTGACTATCCTTCTTGGGGATACTTAACCCTCCACCTCTCCATAAAAGGGTTACCTGGAGCTACAGCTACTAATGCTCGTTGTTCATGTGGATTGACTGGTTGAAAGTTGATGTCCAGTCACGCCCACTGGTAAATTATCATTTAAAAAATATATCAATATTGTAATAATTTGGGGAGAATCAGTGAATCAAAACATAATAGTTGTTACTTTCTGAAATATCAACCTCGTTATTACCACCCATTTTCTATAATGTACGATCCTAATTGTGTAAAGACAATGCAAATTTAATTTTCAATGTAGATCTTGGTCCAGATGTTTGATGAAATTCTACAATAAAATGTTTTTTGTAGATTAAATCAAAAGCAGAATCAAGTGCAAAATAAATGCTCATTATTGTCGCTTTGCGTAATGTAAAATGTTTTCTATATGTGGAGTCCAGAAGCTCAGTGTTTAGAGCACTCCCCTCGCAAGCGAGAGACCTGGGTTCGATTCCCGGCAGGGTGAAACCTTGGGCACGTTTCCATACTCCACACGCCTGATAATAATCCCTCAAGAAAAAAACAATAATAGATTGGTAACTTCAATCCCCGACTGTTTGTAGGACATTGCTGTGCACAATTGGCTGCTGCGTTTCACCCAAAAATATACAGTCAATTCACTTTACAGTATATTCTGTGAAATGTTCTGAGATGTCGAGAAGACGTGAAAAGCGCTATATCAAATGCAAGGATTATTATTATATCTACTTGTTTGTGTCCTCAACTTTCAGTTCACCACGGGATTGCTGTGCAGATTATTAATTGTCAAGGCCTTTAATTTGATAAATGTTGTTCATACCAATAGTAATTTATAAAATGACTCGTGTGATGGCATCAGCATGGAATATAGAATGCACAATATTCATTTATTGAATAATTATACAGTAAATATGCAGTGAAATGTTAATGTTAAATGTTATCAATGGCAAATTGAATGTTTTTTTCTGTAAATTGAAATACCTTGTATTTAATACACTACTTGCAACTCAATAATGTTTGCAAAGTGAAACTGCAATAGTCAAAACCTACTCAACTATTCTGACCAAGGGTCGTGGACCCG